CTTTAAGCGTTGACATATCCCAGGCTTTGGCTCATATCGCATGAGCAAGAGAGCAAGACGAAGCATGGGATCTGGAGTAAAGGATAGAAGAGGCATCTTCAATGGAAAAGGTATTTTCCGATCTCAGATACCAGTCGTGCGCCTCGGTGAGGCACAGTCATATATTAGGCCGGGCCCGGCTTGAGCCAGGCACGGCAGCGGTGCATGCTCGATATATACCTCGCCTTTAACCTTCTCCGTTTAAAGTCGGAGGGGGAGGAGACGAGCAGGCACCGCACTTCTACATTACGCGGAAAAAAACAGTGCTAGGCAACAGCGGCTGCCTACAAGGCAAGGGCGCGCGAGTAGCCTCGCTACCGGCGAGTTTCCTCGCTACTCGAGCGCACCTGCATGCGGGTTTCCCCGCTAGCTCGGGAGGCAGGGCCGTCCTGAGACGACCTGCCCGCCCTATACGGAGTATGTTTCTTCAGCTCGCGCTTGAAGGATTGCTGGCCGGCCATTACTTGCAGGAGCAACGCGCGGTCAATACTACCTTTGGTATGACCATCGGCAGTCATATCCCGCGTGTCACACCATTGAACGCTTTCAACGATTCCGCGCTCCATCATCTGGCGGATCCAGCTAATGTGCCCAAGCAGAGTACATTATGTGGGCTTCTTCAGATCTCTGCTAGACAAAGACTTGAAGACAGACTCGGCATCAATAGTCAGAGTGACTTTGATACATAGACCACCCATTTCCAATATGTTCTTTAACTGTGTGGGGGTCAATGGTCCCGAGTGTAGCTCGTGGAGCGTTACAATGGTCGGGAAGCAGTCTTCCAAGTTGTGGGCTGCTGCCAGTGTTTCCGCAGAGTAGCTCGAACGCACCTGCAGTCGATGAGACTTGCAGTATGCGTCCACCAGGTGCACGACGGGTTTCCCCGCTGGCGTGTGGCCACGCCTCAGCAGGTTAGCCCCGCGGATACCATAGCCTTTGACTTCGTCGTCTTCATCTCCGTTGAGACGACGATAGCCAGAATCGCTATGCAGGTCGACTTCTCCTGTTGGAGTCATAGCTTGATACACGATCTTCTTCGGACCTGCCTGTAGTTTCCTGGTAACCGCGTTTAGTCGTCGTACCTGGATGTTTGTCGGTTCCTGGATACGTTGTAGTGAGACAACATAGACCATCAGCCATACCTGCGTGATCAACGCAAAGGCTAGAGCGCCACGAAGACTGACGAACATATCAGAAATCGTCTTTGTCGCTTTGCTCTCAGGATCAGCTCCCGTGAGTTCTGGATGTGCGATAGGACGAAGCTGTTTGATGTATTCGTCCTGATCAAGAGTGACGCTCCCATCATCGGTCTTGTTGTACCGAACGGCACAGTGTGTGTATGTGTGCTTGTTCAGTTTGCACTTTCCAAACGTATCTTCAACACACTTGACATACTTGTCAATAGCATCTTCCTTCCCAGTCATATTGATGTCATCAACGTGTTTGGCTGTCAAGAGGTTTGGGTTCATCTCGAACTCTTCGTCGCATGAAGTAGGCTGTAGCCCAAAGCTCCTAGTGATGGACCTGAGCTTCAACGAGAATGCCCTGGGAGCATCCTTCGCGCCTGTCCCCGGCTTCAGACACCGAAGACAATGCTTTGATTCGTCATATGACTCAAAGCCTGGCAGTGTGCGAAGGACAGCTGCTGACCCAGGAGGTAGTGTGAAGCACACCACACGCTCTTTCTCGCCCGTTGCCGCGGCGAGCTCGCTATAGGTCAGTCCCTTCAAGAAAGCCATGTTGATGTCCAGGGAAGCGATGATCCAAGCTTTGTTGCATGCAGCAGAACTTGCGAGCAGTCTCTGGCTTGACCTCCTTGCCGTGCCAGAGAAGGTTTCGACATCAAAGGCTTCAAGGTCCATGAAGCCACGGAGTACCAAGCGTAACCTGATCGTCCTTTCCATTTCGCCCTTTTCGTTCTTAACAAACTTCCATTTGTATACGTAGCGTGAAGTCATGATGTTAGACGCTTTGCTCAAGTCAGTCATCTGGAAGCATTTGTTGTCAAGCCAAGTCTTCAATTCTGTGTAAAGGGCTTTGGAAACTTTGACCGGATTCGCTTGAATGTCGGCCTTCGTGAGTAGATCGTCTTCCTTGACGACCACGGCACGTTTGGAGGCAGCACTAACGTATACTCGCATAGTTGTGACGCTGCTGTCATCCAACAATCGGCGTTGCTGCTCGGACAGGACGACTTTGGACATGTCTGCTGCGAAGCAGAGCTCGATGTACTTCCCGTGCTCATCGGAATCCAGATCATATTTGCTGCCCTGATCCGTGGAGCACAAAGGAACGTAGTAAGCAGTGTCCATGTCGTATCCTGGCGGGTGACCCCGCTCCGGCAAGTGGCCTTGCACATCTTCACAGGTCGTAGAGACT